CCACCTGCAGAGCCAAAACGCAAACTCAATGGCAACTACAGAGCAGTGCTGCGGCCCGAAAAGGGGAGATATCTAGGCTGGAGGAGTGCAGAGAGGGCTCATCTCGGAACTGAGAATCCAGGGTGTGGGACCCAGGACTGGGGCCGTGGGGCCTGGCCCAGCTATTCTTCAGTTCCCAGAACAGAAGCATTTCAGCTCTACTTCTCAATGCTGTTGGATACACACACATTTACACACACAGAAGCGCACGTTTGTGCTCCAGGGGCTGTTTCCAAGGGGAAATATCCCCACTTAAGGACACAGTAGGAACTAGCAGGTACATGGGGCCCCAGGAAACTGGGCCGGAGGACGTAGACTTGGCAGGGAACCGTGAAGCAGGACTCGGGGAGAAAATGGCATGAGATTCAGGAAAGGAGCCTGGGGAGGCCCCCCTGCAGGACAGAGGCTTGCTATAGTATCTTTTACCTTCAGCAGGAAGGATTTCTTTTTTTTTCCCCCCCAGCAGGAAGGATTTTGAAGAGATGCATAATCTCAGAGATGAAAAGGACCCTATTAATACTCTCGTCCATTTTATAAGTGAGGAGGAGAATTTCAGTTATCTCCTCAAAGGGCCCAATTCCCGGGCTCTGCATTTACCTAAATCCACTGGTACCTGCCATAGTCCCCACCCCCTGCCTGGCAGGGCTGGCAGTACATGGGCATGAAACGAACAGAATGCACAGTCTGGTGACAGAGGGGCCAAAGGGGGCAAGCGGAGGATCCACGTTCCCTCTCAGCACAGGCAACCAGCTCCCCCACCCCTCAAACACCTCTGGGTTGGCAGCTGTATCACTTCCCCCCGCAAGGATCGGCAGTCCCTCTGTTTCCAGACTCCTGTCTAATAGCTGAGCCCGAAGAAGCTGTCCCCAGGTCTGGGCCTCTTGTGGGTACTGCCAGCCTCAGAGCAGCTCCGCAGTTTCCAGCCCTGACAGGGACTCTTTCTTATTAACGGTCATGTGCTAGGGGTATGGGCTGTCAACGGGGGCCCACACCCCAACACGAGGGGACTGTGCCCACAGGGCCTGGGGTGTGTTCAGGCAGCAACTCTTCACCTCTGTCTTCACAGGAGGGTCTGAAGCCATCTGCTCCCTTCCCCCACACCCAGTTCAAGGCACGGGACCAAGCCATTCCACTTCTTCACTTCTCCAATGAAAACAAAATGCACATTGCCTGCTTCCTTTTTCCTCTCACCGGAGCACTACGCGCACACGCACACACATGCACACACACACCCTGGGTCATGCACACGCATGCTCACACACCCTAGTGAGTGCACACCACACATTCCCAAACTCACACCCAGAGCTGGCTCCTTTTACAACAGGTCCCAGCTATTCACATCTCAAACCGGTTCTCATGCTCTCAGATTGCTGAAGGTTTCAGGAAACAATCTCACTGAGGGGCTGCTGATAACTTTTTCTCCGCCTGTAGTGATTCTGGCTCCTGTGTCTTCCTGTTCCCTCTCTCTCACCCCACCCAGCAGAGACTCGGGAGATGAGAGGTAGGAAAGGGAAAAGTTCTCCCCTGGCTGTGAGCTTTCCCCATCCCCCTAGGGGACATGTCACTGAGAGAAGAGAGGTCAAAGGGATTCCTGAGGAATTTCTAAGCAGTCCACCCCCCTTCTCCACCCTCTGGAAAAATGAGGGGTGGGGGTCAGGCTTAAAGGGATGATCAGGCTCCAAGGGTTGAGGCTGACTCTCCCTTTTTCTCCCCCGCGTGGCCTGGCTGGGGCACGGCAACAGCCAGAGGCCCACGGGGCCACCCTCACCCGCTGACACGGTTATAGTTTTCATTTTGTATTTTGGAGGGAGGGGCTAGGAGGAACAGTCCCCTCACTGTAAGAGCCAGCCACAGGAGCCCAGGGAAGCAGGGAGGAGAGGAAACAGCCACATTAAAGAGGAAGAGAGGGGTGGGGGGAAGCAAGAGAGAGACACACTTACAGCCAGACAGAGACTCGGAGAGACGCAACGAGACAGGGAGACACTGTGTGCTGCCGGATGCGCGCTCCCAGTCCCAGCAACGCTGTTACCTGGGGGCTCTAAGATACGACCTTATCAAAATTCTGTCCCTAATGAGGAGAGAAAACAACCAGATAAACTAAATGTCCAGGCTGGCGCGCCCTGCCGCCCTGGGGACAAGTCTTCCCCAGGAGACCTTTTCATTCAGCTGTAACCTGAGCCCCGTGCAAGGATTAGGTCTTTTTTAACCACTGCTGCACACCATCCCCCTTAAAAAAAAAAAAAGGCAAAGCAAATTAATGCTTTTAAGTTAACAATTATCCTGGTTATCCAGTCTGTCTACTTTAAAATACACAGACAGGCACTTGAAAAACACTCAAAACCATGTACCCTCATGCTCACTCATTCCTAGTCACAGAAGCTTACCCACCCACTCATCCATACCAGCTTTCAAAGACACTAAAACATCTGTATACATGCTTAGCAAGGAAGTGATAACAGACACATACACCCACCTATGTCACCTGTGGGTAATCGTGGTAAACCTCACATGCATGCACGCACGCACACACACGTTCACCTGCACACTCAGGGCTCCCTTCTGTGTTCCTCCCCTCCTCTCCAGTCCACACCACTTTGGTTCTCCCTCTGGTGACTCTCTCAAGAATAGAGACAGAGGTCAGATATCCCCAGTGCTATAGTAACTCTTGACAAGATACTTGCCAAGGTTATTTGTATTTTAAAGACCCTCTAGAGCTTCATTTGAAAGCATGTGGCATTCAAGGCACACCTTCTGGCACTGGTGAGATCTTGGAGGTATGTTTGAGAGCCAAGGATGGCCACGGCTATGCCTATGGGTAAGGCTGCCCTGCCCGCTCATTAACCATCCTCTCTGCAACACTAGCGTGCAGATCTGGGACCAAAGATGTCCCACTAACCCAGCAAACCTGTCGTTAGGCAACTCTAGTAGACCAGGTTGACAAATGTCCTGAATAGTAGGGTTAAAGGTGACTGGCTTGGAATCTATGCCCAGCTAGACTCTGAGGTCAGAAGGAGGGAAGATGCCAAGCTAATTGCAGCCCAGACAGATCAAGTGAGTGTGAGCTCAGCAGGGGGCAACACTAGAGTCTGGAAGTTCCTTGAGGGCAGGGGTCTCCACTCTGTCTGTTTCCCACAGCAGCAGCAGCAGCAGGATGAAATGAAAGAGGGAGCCCTAAAGTGCCCCGGAGAGATTCTGTGTCCCTCTGTCCCTGAAGGACAGTTGACCTCCCAGGCTTGAAAGCCTTGGCTTGAAGGCACCTGTCCCTTCTCAGACTCTCCATCTGCCCCAAGAACCCCCTGGAGGATACTGCTTGCTCCACGTCTTGGCTCCAGTCTCACGAGGCCACTACAGACACTGGCTCCAACTTGAAAGAGGCCCTTATCTTGTCTCTCGAAATCTGTTCCTTCCTTCAGACTAAACTCCCAAGCTAATTCCATGCTATGAGTAAGTCAGCATGCACTACAAAAGCCAGCTTTGTTTATGAAAACACAAGCAAATCCACAGTGGAAGGAGGGCTGCTCCCAGGCCGGGGGTGGCGGTGGTAGTGGGCGATGTGGAACCAGGACCAGGGAAGAGGCAGTTTGGGGTTGGAAGGGGTAGGGATGGGGTCTGGTGTTTGATAGCAGAGGGTCTCTTGTGTTTCTGTTAAAGAACAGGTTCGAGGAGGAAAGGGGTAGTTGAAGAGGCAGTGCTTGGGGAGAAGAGGGTGCACGGATACAGCGCCTTCCTTTGAACAGAGTAGGAGTCCATCCAGGACACAGAGCAGCCTAAGAGCCAAGTGCTCAGGCTCCAGGATGCCGCAACCTGACTGCCAGAGACTCAGGCTTCCCCAACTCCCAAGTTCAACTTCCCCTTCTGGCCCAGCCACCTCCATACCCCAGCCTGGCGTCAAGGAGCCCCTAGGACAATAGGCAGAATCATATTCTCCTGAGTGAAGCTTTGCTAGGAGGAATTTTTTTTTTTTGTCCATATAAATCTCTTCCTGGGTGAGGACTCAATGGGGGAAGGGTGCAGCAGGAGGTCAAGGGGGAGGGGAGGCTGTCCCCAAGAGAACTGTAGCCCACCAGCCTGGTTTCTACCAGCACAGCCTTGGGACTGACCAGGCAAGGAGCCTGGGGTCAGAGATGGGGGCGGGAGGGCCTCCCTCTCTCTCTCTCCCTAATTCCTAGAGGGATCTGTCAGAGCTCCCCAGCCTGGAATTTTACTTTGTTATTTTAATGCAATTCTGACCTGGATTTAAATGGAATTGGAAACCCGAGGCCTTAATAAATAAATATTATGATAAGAAATGAAAGCCATGCAAGACGAAAAAGATTTCCCCCAAAGAGGCAGAAATGCGACATTCTTGCCGGGAGCCAGAATCACAGAAATTTTCTTCACTTCTTCAGCCCTCTTCCAACCAGAGGGAGACAAGTTGATTTCTTTCTTTTCTTTCCTTTTTTTTTTTTTTTTTTTTTAGTTTTCCATAAAAGATCCTATTTTTCCTTAACATTTTTTTTTTCTGATAAGACAACTACGAAATTTCTGTCTAACTTTGAGGAGAATTGGGGGCAAGTGGAAGAAATGTATGGCATGGCTGGAAAAGTTTTCATTCTTTCAGTCTCTCCAGGCCAAAACTTAAGTTTCTGGCAATGTTTGGGAGAAGAGAAGATTCTCATACTTCAGGAAGGCAGGAAGTCTTTGGAAGATGCTGGGGTGGCAGTGAAGTCGGGCAGCATTTGGAAGCGCGTGGGGCTCCCCAAACTTCTCACTCATCCGTGCTGCCCCTGTCTCCTCCAGCCTTTCGCCCGGGGCGTGGTGCCCAGAGGTCAGGTCCCCCACCGAGGACGGTGGGCGCACGGTTCCCTGGTCCTGACAGCAGCACTCTTCCCAGCACCTGCCCTGCCCCGCGGAAATCGCGCCCCCGCCCTCGGACCCTGAAGCCCCGGCGGCCCCGCGGCCGCGCGCCCCTCCTTCCTTACCTTGCACGGCTTTGCTGTGCTGGGCGGCGCGGGCGTGGACCAGCAGGACGAGCAGGCAGAGCCCGGGCACGCGCCCCGAGCCCATGGCTGGAGCTACGGGCGGCCGGGTGGCCGGGGTCGGTCTCGCAGCCCAGGGAGGGCGGAAGCGGGCCGGGCCCCCGCGAGCCGAAGGGCAGAGGGACGGGGGCGCCCGACCGGGGCCGGGCCGGGGTCTGTGGGCGCGGGGCGCGGACAGCGGCGCCCTCGGCGGGAGGCTACCAATGTTGCCGGCTTCTCCCGGCGCGACGCCCGGGAGAGCGAGGCGGAGGAGGGTGCGACGGGGCTGGGGGCGCCCGGCGCCGCTGACGGAGGGAAGCCCCCGCCCTCTCCAAGGCCGGCTCCGCTAGCGGCGGCGGCGGGGCTGCTCCGTACAATCCCACCCAATTCCCAGCTCCGCCGGGAGAGAGCTGCCGCGGAGAGCGCGCAGAGCCCGGGCGAGGGACCTGGGAAAGGGGAGGAGAAACGCAGCGCCAGAAACACGCCCTTTCTGCCTCTCTTTCTTCCTCTCTCGCTCTTTCTCCGTCTCTCGGGCTCCGTCTCTTTTTCTTCGCCTCTCTCCTCCTCCTCCTCTTTCTCCTCCTCTCCTCTCTCCTTTTCGTTTTCTTCCTCCTCCCCCCCCGCCCTCCTCCTCCTCCACCTCCTATTCCGTGCCCTTTTTTCTTTCAAATGGGGCCTCGGCGCGGCGGCCGCTCCCCCTGCGCGCCCGGGCGCGGCGGCCCCCTCCCCAGGCTGCCGGGCCGCTGCCTGCAGGAATTTACAATCCGGCGCTGGGGGAGCGGGCCCGGTCTCCATGGAGACGGCTTCCCCGGGAGCAGGGAGGTCAGGCGCAGACCGCGCACAATCAATGGATCAATGCAAGCCCCGCTCGGCTCCAGACCAAACAGCACCGGGCTCCGGCTAGTCCTGTCTACCGGCGGAAAGCGCGGGGGAGCCAGGGTGCGCCCCCGCGTTCGCACGCGACTAGGGCTGTGCGACGCAGGTTTGCACGCACACCTACAGAGCAGACAAAGAGAGGGAAGGGTGTCGGGGAGGCCGGGGCAGACCGAATCGCACGGGCACTCCGGGACGCCCGCCGACACAGCACGACACGCGGGGCACAGCCACATAGGACCTCGGAAGGCTGAGAGCGGCTCCGACAGCGGCCGAGTTAATGCCCTCCCAGCTCACCTCCACCACACCCCCTACGCCCTCGGGACCCAGTTCCCTCGCCTAGTGCCTAGTCCGCTTTAATCAAGGACCAAAAAGAAAGTAGCCTTTTCCCAGCTGAAACTGCTAGCTCTAGGGCAGACTGTCCTGCAGTTATTGTCTCGCTCAGCATTCTCCTCATAGAGACCTGGACTCATGTGAAAAAACACTCTCGTGCTCAGCATGAGGGCAAAAGCTAACCCGCAGAAACCTGACTATGTGTGTAAACACAGACCCCCAAAATATGCACAACTCTCTCTTCCAAACCTGCCCTCCCACCTTCAAGATGTGGTCCTCACCAGAACATCCTTAAGCCTTCATCCTTCCAACTTGCAGGGGCAGAAAAGGGAAGATAAACGATATCTTTAAAAATAGGGGCAAAGTGTGCCAACGGAGCAGTGTCCCTGAAGCATGGACAACACCACCTGCTGCATATACCAGCTCTGCCTCTTCTCTCAGTACATCCTAGGGGAAAGATGAAGGACTTCTTGATAGTGGTGAGAGCTTTTCTGGAGTAGGGAGCTTTGTTTGGTCGGAATAAGACTGCCAGGCCCTAGGCAGTCACTTATGCTTCAGAGCCAAACTTCTGCAGGATAGAGACCTTTGGGACCCAGACTAACCTCAGAGTCTGTCTTCAGGGTACCCTGGAGGAAGAGCTAGTGATCAGGATCCTCCTGAAAATAACTCAGTCCTTAGACCCTTCACACTGGCAGCTGGTATTAGCTTGGGTGACAGGTATGCTTTGTCAGAGGTTTCCTTAACCCCCAGGGAGAAGAACGAAGCGGTTCCTTCGTCCCCTAGGGACTGAGGGGACAAGTGGGAGGATGCGGACTCAGGCATCTGGATTTCCTGTCCTGACTCTGTCCTGGGTCGGAGATTACCTTTGGGCAAATCACTCCTCAGTATACCTCAGTATTGTCACTGAAAAGGAGGCTGGGTTAGCTCAGTGGTTGGAAGGAGACAGTGCCCTTAGGATCTCTAGGGGAGGAGGCCTTGAGAATTCCCTGCATGACATGAGAGACTGCGGTTGGGATGGGAGCATGCAGAACATGGGGATGGAGCGAAGGCCACAAACGTTTGGGTCAGATGATCCCTGAGATCCCTTTCAGCCCCGTCACTCTAGGGCTCTCTCCCTCCTTCATTCCACTGGCAAACCCCTCCCCTCGAAACAGCTTTGACTGCTGCCACCAATTATGTGTAGGACTAGAGGACAAGTGCAAACCTGCCATCCTCTATGCCCCAAACAGGAGAGTGGTTTAAAAAAAAAAAAGCATCAGAGGTTGCCAGAGGGTGCCTACCTACATGGGGGCACAGAGGGTTGATTAGCGCCCCCCAGGCAGGGAAAGGAGATTGCACTGTGCTTTTACCCACTCCAGTACTCTTGCCTGGAAAATCCCATGGATGGAGGAGCATGGTAGGCTACAGCTCATGGGGTCGCAAAGAGTTGGACGCGACTGAGCGACTTCAATTCACTTGCTTTGTCTCTGCCTTGATTTGGACTCTGGTGTGAGCTCCTCTGGGTCCCTACGGAGGAGAGCTCCCTCCCAGCCTCTAAAGCAAGTGAAATGGGCTTGGAGGGTTCTGCATGAGCAGATCAATAGGTTAACTCAGACCTTCTCTCCAGGGCAGCGTGATTTCCTGATCCTCTGAGTGTGGACATTGCCCTGGCTTCGTGGGGAGGGAAGAGTGTGTGGCCCCACCTTAGCTGCTACATCTCTGGGAGGCTTAGTGTCTCTTACTCGTTTCCTTCCCCGCCCCCGCCCCGATTACTTTCCTCCATTTATTCCTCTGTTCCTCTAGGAAGGTGAGCTTTCTCTACTTCTGGGCAGAAGAGGCAGTTCCCTGCCCTGCTCCCCACCTTCCATTCTAGTCCCTGCCTACCCTCAGCCCTTCAGAGGAGTCTACAGGAGCCAGGTGTGGGTCATAATGCCCTCTGTCCTGTCCACTTCTGCAGGGGCTCACAACGGGAGAGTTACTCCGGATGGTGACAAGGAAGGAATAAGGAGATGGCTCTTGCAAGTGCTTCTACAAAGCAGCAGCACATGCCACGGCCTCAAGGGGGCGGCAGGTAGGGGGGTGCGGGGTGTGGGTGGAGTGGGGTGAGTAAAATGCCCCTGCATTCTCTGGGGTCTCCTACACTCGCCTCAGGTGGCAGTTTGCTTTTGGGTGCCTCTCTCCTTCAAGGAAATCTCTGACATTCACTTCATTCTAATTTCTCTTGCAAATGTTGAGGGAGAAGGGTGGGGCTGGGGGACCCACAGCTAGTATCTCTCAGTTCTCGTCCTGCTTCCAAGGATGCCTCTGCCAGGCCTCTGCCACCTTCAGGGACTTAGCCTCCCTGCCAAGTCTCTTTCCATAAGCTTTTGCTTTTTCTCTCTCTGCTCCTGAGCTACCCCATCTGTTAAATGAATCTGGTGCCTCTATCTTGACAAAAGATACAGTCTTAATGGAGAACATGCATGTACTGAAACAGCAGTACCCTAGGGTCAATGTCAGGCCCTACCATTTCCCAGCCATCTATCTATTTTGGGTAATTTATTTCATTTCGCTGAGTCTCAGCTTCCTCATCTATAAAATGGGTATGCGCCTACAACTACATAGGTGAGGCGCATCTATCACACCAGCCCTAGAGTGAAATAAAACTGCAGTTCAAATCTTAGCTGTGTGACTCAGATAAGTTAATTTCAGCAAGCTTCAGTTTTATGACAAAGGGAATATAAACCTCATCGGGCTATGGTGTTAACTGAATGAGCTAATGATTGGAAAAACCCTGGCACACAGTAGGCATTCAATAGGTGGTGGCTATTGATGTCATTTCGACTACTTCTCAGAAGGAACAAGGACCACAAATGTCTGATGGTAAAGGCATAGTAGTGCCTGGGAAGGAGCAGTCTTGTTGCAGGCCAGACTCTGACCCAGCTGAGTATGAGTGCAGCCAACTGGGCTCAAGCCTCACCACCCTCCAATAGATTCCTGTCTGTCACACATTCCTTCTGAGAAGGTTCCAAAAATGCCATGCATTCCAGCACACTGCCCTTGTCAGCAGCACTTCCAAACTGGAAGGTTGGAAGGAAACTTACCTGCCAAGTAGAGCAGCTCTTTCCCCACCACCTTGTACCTCCCACCCGGCCTTCAGAAGGCACAGCCACTCTAGTGAGCACTCATGGTTACTGTCAACTCAGAGCTTTCCTGTCTGCCAGGCGCTCCACCACGCACGCATCAGGCAAGAACTGCTAGCCTCATTCTGCTGGTGGGAAAACCCAAGCGAAGAAATGTCAGCCCGCCCAGATGACTGACTAGGAATGGATGAAGCCAGGATCTGGGACACAGGCCTGACTCTGAAATGTGTATGGCCTCCTCATTCTCTTTTCTGCCTCCTCTGAAAACACAGCAACTCAACATCTTCTTGCCACTGTTACAATGTAATCATCCAGCGTAGATCAACGCCTGTACATACGAGAGGCAGCAGGGCAGTACCCTTGTCCCGGAGGATCACACAGGGGTAGGATTTCAGAAGACTGAGAGGTCACATGACTGCCCTAGGTCACACGACCTAGTAAAGAGGCAAAGCTAGAAGCAAGATTCATGTCTCCCCTGACGTCTTTTTTAAGAAAATATATTTATTTTTATTGTCTATTTGGCTGTTCCAGGTTTTAGCTGTGGCATGTGGGATCAGTGATCTTTGCTGTGGCATGGGGGATCTTTAGTTGGGGCACATGAGCTCTTAGTGGCATGTGGGATCTGGTTCGCTGACCAGGAATTGGACCAGGGCCCCCTGCCTTGGGAGCACGGAGTCTTAGTCACTGAACCACCAAGGAAGTCCCTCCTCTGACTTCTGACTCCTGGATCAGCGCTCCTTAGTCTGTACCCTGAGAGCTGCCAATCTCCCTCTTCCAGTTCTCAGTTTTCCTTTTCCTCATGATCTGATCAGTCACAAATCCTTCTGTCAAGTGGCACATGGTACTTATCCCACATCCTTCTCCCCAGTACACACTGTCCGAGGCCCTCTAGAATGTACAAAAGAAATCGAAAATATGATCCCCAATCACAGAGGTGTATCAGGGATGTCTCTGGTGATCCAGTGGATGAGAGTTCACCTGCAGGTTCGATCCCTGGTCTGGGAAGATCCCACATGCCATGGAGCAACTGAGCCCGAGCCCCAGCTCCTGAAGCCCGCGTGCCCAAGAGCCTGCGCACCTCAGGGAAGAGTAGACCCCACTTGCTGCAACTAGAGAAAGCCCACACTGCAGCAATGAAGGACCCAGCACAGCCGAAAATTAATTCATTTTAAAGAGGTGTGTCAGCACCAGTGTATGCTTTCTGACCCCTTTGTACCATAAGGCAAATCCCCAAATGTCCAGAGTCTCACCAGGAAGGCAAGGCTTGTATATGCAAAATAATATCTGAATGCAACATCAAGCAATCCAGACAGAGAGTGCCAGAGAAAGTCAGAGGAGACAGGAGTCGATCATCCAAGTAGCTTCCGTGGACATTAGGAGAGATTTGAGGTAAATGTTAATGACACTTAGAGAGGGACAAGAGAGGAATATAAACAAAAATCAGGGACAGAGATAAAGAACAGTCAGAACAACAACAGTAGAAGAAATAGACGAAAGGAGTGGGGCACACGCTAGGTCAGTGGACAGGTAGACCCTGGGCAGGCCTTGTTTCCCACCTGCCCAGGATGGCTGAGCAGCCGCTTGGACAGATAAGCAGAAGATTGGAAGTCACGCTCTCTCAAAGTGTGTTCTGGCCCTGGGATTCTAGGAGTAGCTTGTTCCCCAAGGCCCCTGGTCTTGTCTCTGTGCAGAGGTCTGCTGGCAGTCCTGCCAGGACCTGCTGGGGGCAGGGAGAGCCTGGTCTAAGCTGCCCACACCTCCCCACTGGGCAGCCTCCTTGGCCTCTCATCCCACGGTCGCCACCCCCCACCCCAGCCCTGCCTCCCTGCCCACCCCCACACCTGAGTCACTTTGCCACCTGCTTCCTCCCCACCTGCTCCCTGGCTGCTTTCATGAAGGAAGTACAAATCTCTAACCTGCCAATTGGCATGAGCACTGATGTGTGGTTCCAGACTTCTCCACATCACAAGGCAAGCCTCCAAACTGCCCCAAGCCTTCGCCCTGTCACCTCCGACACAGCTGCTCTTCTATACTTCGGATGCCGCTCCACCAGGCTCAGCCCCCTTATGTCCCAATCAGTGCTCTCACCTCCTGTTTCCTTGAGAAGCCAGAAGCCATCTGGCATGCACTTCATATCTCCCACCTCCCTGTCCCACCACTGCTAGGAGAGGGGTCTCTCCTTTTGACCAAGGCCAACCCCCACATACATGCACAAGGATCCCACACCGTCTTGCCTCGACAGGGAACCAGTGCTGTCAGTTACCCCCTCCCTTTCCCGAATCCCTCACCTGGGCTCCTTCTCCTCCTGGAAACACAGTGTAACCTGCGGCAGGAGCAACCACAGGAGTAACACAGGAGCAACTGCAAGCTCCCCTAGACCCTGCTGCCTCTCGTCCTCCCAGTTTCCTGAACTTCTAGGAGGAGGGCTCCTGTTTTCCATCTCCCCTGCTTCCTTCACCCCTTGCCTTTGTGCAATCCAGCCCAGGCCCTCTCTAACCCCTCTGCCAGGTCTCCACCGCCTTCCCCATCTCCATATATGAGGATGCCTGCTGGTCCATACCTATCTTGACCTCTCTGCATCATCGGAAGCCTCTGAATGTTTTCTTTTCCCTTCCTACGTCCTTTCTTTCCCCCAGTATCTTGCCAGTCATTCCCCCTTCACTGGCCTCTGAAGCACTTCTAGCTTGGCTCTTTTCAGTTCTCACCCTCAGGGGCCCTAACCCAGGGACAGCAAGGGTGGAGGGACGAATACTGGCTCTGTAGTCAGATGGTTCTAGGTTTCAATCCCAGTCCCAACAATGGGTGAGTTTCAGCAAGTTTCTTTACCTCTCGGAGCATAAACTTTCTCATCTAGAAAATGGGAGGATGAAATTCTGACCTTGCTCATGTTGGAGGGCACAGATAGGTCGCGTGGAAGGTCCAGCACAAAGAAGGGGGCAGTTTACCCCACACTGTGGGACATTACGGCTCCAATGGTCACCAATGTGATGACCCCCAAGTCTACATCTCTAGCCCCCACTTTCCTTGTAACTCTAACTCTATGTGTCCAGTTTTCAGGCCCGTGTGTCTAGTGCTCTTCTCTCTTTTCTAACTTGCCCTGTATTTTTGCCCACGGAGAGAGATTTCCACTGGTATTTTTCAAGATCTCAAGCTGAACTGACCCCAGCCGAACGTTGTCCCTCTCCGCACGCACCCCTGACCTGTCCTCTTCTTGACCTCCATATAATGGCCCCATGACCACTCAGCGGCCCCAGCTGGCTTTCTCAGAGTCTGAAAAGACTCTCTCTTCCTCTCCCATCTGAGAGGTCACTGCATCCTGAGGGCGAAACCTCTGAAACCTCCCTCAGTTCTTCGCCTCCTCTCCACCCCCCTTGCTGCTGCCTCAGCCTCCAGGCGCTCAGCAGGTCTCCCGTGGACACACACTGGCCTCCGTGCCAGTCCTGAGCCCTCTTCCCCAAAGACACTTCATGTCCCCCTTCTGATCTCACTGTCAGCACAGCCAAGCCACATCAGCTTGCCACATACCATGGCCTTGACAGCTGGGAAACCGCTACTGCCCTTTGAGATCCGGTTTAGATGTACCTTGTTTATGAGGTCTTCCTACGGCCCCCACAGGCATGGTGCTCAGTGGCCCTTGAAACCTACCCTGATGGCCCTGGGTGTGCTGCGCTCTAATGGTTTCTCTTCAGTATCTGTCAGACGTTTGAGGGCAGGACCATTGTATCCCCAGCCCCAAGCACATGCCTGGCACATAGTCGTGCTCAGCAAGTGTTTGCCAAATGAATGAAGGAATGGCGAGCTCTTGGGAACCCCAAGGAGGGGGGCAGTGTGCCCCTGACCTGTCTCCCTACCTCCCACCAGCCCCGAGTTGTGTCGCCTAAAGGACTGGGGGCAGCAGAAGGTGTTAAAGGGAGGCTCAGCATGGAAGTCAGGGGTGGCGTGGAGAGGCCAGACTGAGGAGGCAGCACAGAGGTGCAGGAGACCCTAGGAGGGGGCTCTTCTGGCCAGAGACTCTGAGATTCTGGAAGGCAAAGAATCCGAGCTGGAACCTTCCAAGCCAGGACTGAAGATCTCCCCAAAGGTCTGGAGAACTGGATGATGACAATCTGGGTAAAGCAGCCAGAGGCAAGAAACTGGGGAGAGAAGCAATGATCTGAGGCCTGGGGCCAAGATGGATGACGTGGGTGGGGACTACTGGCAGTTTCCCTCGCTGAACCCTGGGGAAGCAGACACAGGAGGGTGAACCCTCATCGTCTCTACCCCTTCATCAGGGATCTTTCATATGATGCTTCAAATGTCACCATTAGAAGATAACTCCTTTGAGCTAAAATTGTATTTCTTGGGTCCCAAATACAAATATCCCTGTGAGAGATTCCTCCTTTGTGAGTTAAAATGTTAGTTATCTGCTGCAGCTCTAACCGAGCCGTGGCAAAGGAGGGGCTACAGGGACACTGGCTGAACTTCTGGACTTGGCTGAGCAGCGGGGTTCGGCTTTGCTCCGCCTGCCCTGTTTCCTCATGGCTGTGCTGCCCCAGGTCTCCCCAGAGGAGAAGATGGAGAGATGGAGGAGGACTTGCTACAGGTATCCTGGATTAAAGCCAGGATGAGTGGAGGTGGAGGTATTGGGGCAAAGTTCAAGGTACTCGTGAACCAACTTTTAAAGTGAATTGCTGTAAAGTGAAACTCGGTTCCCCCATTAGCTTCTATTGTTCTATTTTCCAAGAAGGGCCCTTACAGGACTGAGAATCCATTTAGAAGCCGAAAACCCGTATCGCGGAAGGGGTTGGCATCTCTGCCGCCTGTGCTCAAGCTGAGTGCTGAGGCCCTCACAGAGGGCGCCTCCCTTGTTTGGTGACAGGCTCTCCCTTCTTCATGCCACCACTTCCCCTCTGTCCTGAGCATCTGGCGAGCTTGCTCAGCAAAGCTGACGGGCATCACGGCCAGGCTGGGACTCCTTGGTGTCTCACCCTGGTCCTGCAACAACCAGTCTGCAAGAGCCTGAAGAAGAAGTCCTGACCTTGACCTGGGCCTGAGGGCTCTTGAGGAGAGATGGGAACTCCTGCTAGTCCTCTTCTGCCCTTACCTACCCGTCCCGGCCCCCATCCGGTCCTGCTCGGACTGATGGAGAAACTCCCTTGCTTCTCTTCGCCAGACCCAAGCTGTAATGTTACCCTTCACCAGTAGGTGCCGCCGTCTATCATACCATCCTCCAGTCTGGAGAAGTCCCGAAGCCAAACCTTGGGGAGCCTACCCAAGGCACCCAGCTCTTCAGACAATCTGCAAATGAAATTATTATAAATGAGATACTCCCACATTGATGAAGTTAAAATGTGGAATTAATTGTGTGTTTCTGAATAACCACAGATTTCAATTTTTAATCAGTTTGACATTCATTGTGCACTTGCTACGTGCCAGGAACTTAAAAGTATACGGGCATTCAGAGATGGCATGGTTTCTCTTTTAAAGTTCATAATTACGTAGGAGAGCGAAATGTGCCTCTAAATGATTAGAATATAAGGTAGAACATGGGACTTCCCTGGTGGTCCCTTGGTTAAGAATCTTCCTGTCAATGGAGGGGACATGGGTTCCATCCCTGCTCTGGGAAGATTCCACATGCTGGCAGCTGAGCCAGCAACTACTGAGCTCATGTGCCCCAACCACCGAGCCCGCACCCTGGAGCCTGCGCTCTGCAACAAGAGAAGCCGCCTCCGTGAGGAGCCCGCGCACTGCAGCCGCAAAGTAGCCCCCACTCCCCGCAACTAGAGAAAGCCCTCGCACAGCAACAAAGACCCAGGGCAGCCAACACGAAATAATTTTTTTTTTTAAGGCAGAACATGGTAAATACCCAAATACGAAGGTGCCAACATAAAATTCTAATGAAAGCATTAAAAGAGACAGATTAATTCCAGCTGGAAGCTTGGGGAACGACTCAGACGAGGAGAGGTTTTAAAGACGACCCCAAAGAATACGTAGACTTTCTCTACACGGAGTTGGGCGAAGACGGTGAGGGCTTTCCAGGTGGTGGAAACAAGGTGAGCAAGGATTTGAGGGGGAATGTCTACCAGGAATTAATGTGGTTTGACTAGGGTTTGACACGGGTTTAAGGGGCTGGAGAGGAAGATCTGAAAGGTGGGGTGGTGAAGAGCCTGTTCCCAGCCGGGGCTAACGGGTTGATCCTGGTGTCCTGGCTCCCGGAACCCGGAGGACTTTAAGCAAGGCAGCAGCAGGGCTGGCTCCTGTCATGAGCTACCTTTCCATACCCTGGATACTTGATGTGCTCTGCGGGACTTCTTCAGTGTTTAGCGACTTTATCTCATCAAGGATGCAGGAAGAGAACAGAGAGCAGAAAGGCAGAAAGAAGGCACAGAAAGTGGTGAAAGGGAGGGAAATGATGGCTAGAAGGGAAGAAAAGATGGAGAAGGAGGAGAGGCAGCAGGGGAGGGGGAAGGCAGAACCTACCCTGGGAGGAGGCTCGGCCTGGTGCTGTGCTCAGGGAGCTGTCTGCACTTTTCCAGGCCAGCGGCCTCTGGCTCCCAGCCCCGGCAACCACAGAGGACAATGTGAGGCGGGCTTGTTTGGTGATGTGTTTGCTGCTGGCCCTGTTTGTTTGTTTTCTATTATTTTTTTTTTTCCTGGCAGTGGATGCGTCTGGGGTAGAGAAGAAGGAGGAGATCAGCACTGTGGCTCGCAGTGACAGTGGCCCCCAGGCCAGGCTCTGGGCTGCTGGGACTCTTCAAGTGGGGGTTTGTGGGCATTGGAGTTGGACTTTGGATGTTCCTGGGAGAGACCTCTATGTGGGCACCCAGAGCCAGGTGGTGGCTGGCCCAAGCACAGAGATGGTTTGCATCCAGCTCTTTGTCCTTGTCTTTCTCTACCCCGACAGGAAAGAATTAAAAGTCCTTGAGGCCTGGGCTCCTTGCCTGTGTGGCCAGGATGTCGTGCTGGGCTGGGGAGTCTGTAAGGGTACAAAGAGCAGCCACTTTCAGCTCAGCACTGGGGGCCAAAGGGGAAGTCCACGCGAGCCCGCCTGCTCTCAAGCCCTGATGATGAGTCTGGCCTTCTCTCTCCTGTCCCACAGCCCTTGGAAGCCAACCTAACGAGCACTATTAAAGTTAATGAAACACAATGAGTCCTCCGTTTGCTCGGTTATGACTCTTTACGAGATTGCTCCCTCTTGCAGAGGAGATTCATTTGAGCTGCCAGGGCTTAGCCTTTGTCCCCCTAATTTTTATTGGCCCATTAACAAGATCAGATGCCCTGGGCTGACCAGGAATATCTGGTGTGGGTTCCCAACAAGCCCCATTGGGTCCAGTCTCAGGTGGCCTTTTGATTCCAAATTAGCTTAAGAACGGCCCCTGTTCCCCTTCTTCCTTCTGTTCCTTCTCCTCCTCCAAACCCAGTTTTCTATGTCGGTACAGCAGGGATTTGGGAAGAATTCAGAAGCTAGGAGATGCCTTCCATCTGCTTTAGAATGTGTCTCAACCCACTGATGGAGCAGCTCCCCTCGTAAGAAATCCAGTGTGGCTTGAGGGCTTTACTCCCCATTAAAATGGAAATATACTGAACCTTGTTAGTAATTTGCATTTTGGTGTGAATCAGTTCATAAGGTCACGGATTGGCTGCAAGGGGATCTGGGAATCTCCAGTACTCTACACGGGTTTTTATCCCTGGTGTTCATTTTTCCAGAGAGAGGTTTTCTATAGCTTTCTTCAAAGTTTTCATGACACTCCCACCCCCTCACACAGGCAGAAAACCTCTCTGGAAGTGGGAGAAGAGTGGTTCATAACTGGGGCCCAGAAGACAAACTGTCCTACCTGCTTGGCCAGTCCCACCCCTGGGAGGAACTGGGCCACCACCACCCCCACCCCCTGCCCCGCTCCTCTGGAGATACTTCTTCCACAGACCTCCCACGGTCACCAGCGCTCAGTCATGCCTTTCTGAAACCTTAAAACCAACCTCAAGCTGGGGGCAGGGGCAAGAGCAGAGCCCTTTAACTCTACTGATTTACATGGCAAGGCTGTAAATGATAGGTTCTCATGCCTGGTGTAATTACTCATAAACTTCACTGTAAGTGCCGGGCATCACATGTCTTGGGCACCCAGATCCTCTGCACACCCCATATAGGCCTGCCTGGCATTCAGGAGGTCAGGGAGGAGAGGAACGCTGAGCTGGCTGCAGCTGTCATGACAAGGTCACAGCTGTGACTACCGGGGGAGAGGGCATGGAAGCTAGTCTCTGCAACCCCACATCCTCCAGGACAGAGCAGATGGCCCCTGCACAGTGATGCCTCAGAGTGGCTCCTCTCCTGCTCAGCTAAGGCTAACTGTTCTCACAGGTTATGGCATTGTCATCAGAAAGCCCCTGTTAAAATGCAAAGGGGCTTCGTGTGAAGATGAGTAGGGCTGGCTGGCTGTCCGTCACCCAACAGAAAGCAGAGTCCCCAGACCCTGGAAGATGAGGTTTGGCATACATGGAGAGACGTTTCCAGCAGATCAGTGTAATAGCTATATGACGTTAAGTGGCCTTTCAAGTAGTCTCTCTAATTCCACTCTTGGGGTCTGAGAGCCTGTTCTTCACATGGCAGCCAGAGTCATCTTCAAACAGAGTTTCACAACCTCAGCTCTCTTGACATGTGTTGGGGGGGCTGTCCTGTGCCTCGTTGGATGTGCAGCAATACCCTGGCCTCTACCCGCTGGATGCCAGGAGCACCCCCGCCCGAGCTGTGACGACCAAACACGTCTCCAGATCCTGTCAAGTGTCCCTCAGGAAAGGGGGGCGAGGTTGCCCCTCCCCACCCCCATCCCACTGAGGATTTCTGTCATTAAGTATAAATCAGATCATGTCACTCCCTGTGAAATCCTGCAATGACTTCCCACTGCTCTGAGGATGAGATCCTGCTACTCGGCGTGGCCCGCACAGCCTCCGTGAGCTTGTCTTGTCTCAGGTGTGCCTCTCTGCTCTTGTCCACCATCCATCACCCTTTTGTCAAGGGAAGCTTTTTTAAAAGATTTCCTTTTATTTAGAACTTTCACTTTACTTTTATTTAAATATATACACATATATGTGTGTGTATAGTAGAGTGAGAGAAAAACCAATTATTCTTAATTTATAAGTTAAGTTGTAAAAAGAAACTCCAATACAAACTGCATGAACCAATCTTAAGAATCAGACCATATTTATCATATATTTTCATTTTGTACTTTTTTGGTTTCCACTAAAATGCTATCATTGTGTAAAACTGAGACTTTGCTTTTATGTTGTCTTTGACACATGGAATTTTTTGATGTACCTAGGTAAGCCAAGCTTTTTTCTTGGACAAAACAGAAGATGGAGAGACACTGGCAAGTATTGGATATGTTTTGGAAGCCTTTTCATACACCCTTATGACAACTCATAAATATTTGACATACAGTGTTCCTTACTTTTGTTTGTCTTCTCTCCCCCATGAGAGCAGGGACAGTGCGTGGCTTGTTCACCGTTGTATCTGCATTACCTCCCCTGGTGCCCACCATATAGCCGGCTCTGAATAATTATCTGTAGAGTGAATAAATAAGGATGGCAGGAGCTCAGAGAGGGAGAGGGACCCCTCTGGAAAATCAAAGGAAGTCTTCTTGGTTAGGAAGACTAGAGGGTAGGAAGGGGGAAATGTCTTCTAGGACAGGGCTTAGGGGATGGCGGAAGCAAAAGCCCAAAGAAAGCACAGTGGGCAACAGCTTCTGCAACTGACCCAAAGAACACGCAGGCCGCAGACCTTCTGTCTTCTGTCCACAAGGGGCAGAAGAACAAATGCAGTGTGAATATAACTTCTGGTCTGAACGGATCCAGGGGTGAAGTGTTTGTGTCCCTTGATGGAGAAGCCAGGAGAGAAGTCAGCTAAGTTGGAGCCTAGTGAAACTGGAGATGAACCAGGGAGGGTTTTGATTGCTGATCCTGGAGTCTGGACTTGGCTGAGCCTATGAAAAGTAATAATCATTCCTCTTGTGGTATCTGATGTCCATGACTCCAATGGCTCTGATCCCCTTCGACCCTGGAACCGGATCTGTGGCCACAAAGGAAGTCTAGGGGGCTGACCAGACAAGGGAGTCTAGACCAGTGCAGAGAACCCTGGGACCCCAATGCAAGCGGCCTGGGGCCTGCTTCCTTTTCCCCTCCCTCTCTTGATGTGTGGCCTTGCTCAAGGCGTTGGACTGCAATGGACCTCCGCGTCCTCCTTTAGGAAAACAGAGTTAACAATACCTGCCCCGTTCAGAGGAGAAATGAGGTCATGTTTGTGCAGCGTTGTAAGTTCACTGGAGACAATGAGTGGATTCTTCTTAACAGTAACAATAATAATCATTACTGTAAATCTAACCAGTAAATATATCTCCTCAAAGCTGGAGTTGGGCCCCTCAGTAGGATAGCAGTTAAAGCTTTAAAAAAAATCTCTAGATGGGGGAATTTTCTGGCCCATTTTGATTTTGGGGGTTTGCAGAGTTGATATCATTGTGGGAGGGAGGGGGACCTGCAGCAATCCTTCATTTCAATTTCATTCAGTTGCACATATTGTATCTCTCTTGTCCTTAAGTTATCCTCAGAGGGTTTTGTAACTTCTCACCCTCCTTCAGTTCAAGGAGGAAGAGGTTCATTATGTTCCCCATCTCTGCACACACTCAGTGCCCCATTCACTCCCAGAAACAGTCATTTGACTATGAGAGATCCTGGCCATTTGGGCATTGGACACAAACTAGCCTGCAAAGTAAGTGGCTTGTCTCCAGGATCGAAGCCCAGTTTCCACCCATCCCACTAAGTAGGCTGAAGCTTCCCACAGTGAGCTATGCATTCAAATCCCCAAAGAGTGGGGCCCATTGATTCTCAGGCGATTCTAATGCAACCAGGACCTGTCTGAATTTGGGAACCCCAGGTTTAGGGAAGTATTAGTTATGAAATGGGTCTACAAAAGAGCAAAATGATGCTGATACAAAGGCATTGTTAAAGTTTGGGTCAACCTGGCAGAAGACCCTTTCTCCTGCCCCAATCCACAGAACGACAGGAAGCTACAAGAAAACAAACTATATTATAGTGTGAGAAAACGAAAAGAGAATGCTCAGCCTATCAGAAATGTTGGGTGCCAGAAAGATAAAGAACAAATAGCATCAAAGCTATAAAGGAAGAAGACTGGAGGAAACCAAGCTAATACATATGAAGGAGAAGGCACAGAGGAGGGAAAAGTGGTTTGGGAGACAGGGGTCAGAGGGGAGCTCTAAGCCTGAGACAACAGACTCAAAATAACCAGAGGAGGTCCCAGAAGTGTTCCTTGCTGCTTCCTGACTGTGTTCAGTAGTTCGCAGTAGAGGATTTGCCCCAGGTTGCAGGGGTTAGAGAGGCAGAGCAACGTTCCAAGCAGCTACTGACACTCTGAAAGGGAAGTAGGGAGTCCTCATTCAGAAGAAAAGCTGCTGGCAGGCCACTCCTCTCTCTCCCACCCTCAATAACCAGTGACACGGCTATAGTGAACACAAAACTGGCAAACAGATATTCTCCAACACAAAAATGAGCAAAACGCCAAGAATCTCTCAGGGGAAAGGGAAAAATAAAACCATGGTACAGAGAAATTGTATTGCACAGCCAGTACTGTCCAATAGAACCTTCCGTGATGATGGAAGTGTTCTGTATGTGAGCTGTCCAACATGTAGCTGCACACCACATGTGGCTAGTGACCACTTGAAGTGTGGCTGCTTCAACTGAGGAACTGAATTTTTAATTTAATTTTGTCTTAATTTAAATTTAAATAGAGAGCAGATACAGTATTGGATAGTAAAGCCCTGAACTTAACATGTAGAAGAGTTAACACCCAAAGAAATAGAGATAACAGAACAAAAAACTGTTGGTTTTGTTTTTTTAACTGTCTTTGTTAAGATCACTTGAACTGAAGAATAGTTATTTTCAAGAAATGAAAAATAATAATAAAGTCCATTTAAAAAACCAACCAGGTATTTTTAAAAATTTTTTAAACTGATCGTCAGAATTTGAATCTCAGTAGATGGTCTGAGATAAATTTAATGATCTGATTATTAGAGAGACTGAGCTGAAGAAGTCTCCTTAAACACAGTGAAAACCG